CAGCAAGTTACCAGCCTGGTGACTTCAGCTCACCAAGCATCATGTGTTAAGTGTCTATCCCATGATGAAGTATGTTATCGTTACTCAGATCTGGAAACGGGAAAGGCAAGAAACTCACACAAATAAGGAAGATACCCCCCAGTTTACACAAAAGGGAAAACCACACACATTCACCCTAGTCACCAAGACAGTGAGAGCAACTCTATTTTCAGGGAACATGAGACACAGAACTAAACAGTGAGGAGGAAATAGGCAAGGCCTTCCTTACAGTTCATGGCTCTGAAATTCCTTTTGAAGAAAAAGGCATTTAAAGTAAGACTACGGGAGCAGCCGAGAAGAGGCAGTTTCCATTTTTAGTGATGCTGATAATAAACAGTCTGGGATGGACGGCATCACTATGTATGTCTGCTTCATCCCTGCGGGTGTGCATGTCCTACATGATGCATCTTGGCTCTCTATGGAAGGCAGCCCTGGGGTAGAGATGGGCGAACAGCGCTCTGACCTTTAGGAAATTAACAGTTTAGTATGAGGTGAAGCAGAGTTACCGGTTTCTGCTCTTGAATTAAGCAGCTCGGTCATTTGGAGGAAAAAAAAAAAAAAAAAAAAGAGGCTCTGGGGTGGCAACCCCTCAATCTTTACTAATAAAGAAAGGGAGAAAGGCAGGTAAACTGATTATAAAACAATTATAATACAATGTGACCAATGTTATAAAAGTGCTATGAGCAAGGAAGACAGGAAATTGAGGAAGACTTTGTAGAAGTAATATGTTAGGTCTTAAAAGCTGAATACTAGATTTCCAGACAAAAGAGAAACTTGAAAACGTAAAAACACAGAGGTATAAAGAATGCAGGTTTGCAGGAAATAGAAAAGTGAGTAGCAGGAAGGGACAAGGCAGGCGAGGTAAGTTACAGCAGGCCTTGACCTTACTAGGAAGAGGAAAGATGTATCCATGTGTGTAATTAATCACTTGTACAAACATTTATTAAGAACCTACTGCAAACTGGAAAATATGCTCCATGCCGGGGATACCACGAATCATAAAAGAGGCAGAACCTGTCTTCAGGCGACCGGCACATTTGTGGAGAGATCAACATTAATCAAATGGTGTGAACCAAAGTGCAGGATGCTCCTGGGCCTGGAAACAGGGGACCTGTGGACAGGATACGCTTCCCTGGGGTGTGGACTTTGAGCAGAGGGCTGAAAGTGGCAGAGGGTCAGGGGAGGACCAGCGTTCCAACATGGGCAGAGGCCCCAGGATGAGTGGAAGAATGGGGCTTTGAAAGAGAGGAACTGAAGCTGCTGTGGCTGAAGCAAGAAAGAAGGAACAAGGGGCACAAGATGAGGCTGGAGAGGCAGCTACCCCAGAGCTCTTGGCCTTCACCCAGGAGCCCTGGAGAAATCCTGAAGGGCTTTCTGCACAAAGATCAGACCTGTGACGTGAAGGGATTACACTAATTCAAGTGTTGACAACAGGTGGGGCATCGGCCAGAGCGAGCGCAAGGGCGCCAGTGAGCGTGCTGCTGCAGGTGTTCGAGTGTCCAGCTGAGGCGGGACCATGGACTGCTTGGTGGCAGCAGAGGACTAGCTCAGGTGGGGACATCAAAAGACATGCTCAAAGGTTAACTGCTCTCAGGAGCAGAAAGAAGGAAGATGCTGCTTTCACACCGAGTTGGCTTTCGAATAGGGAGAGGAGTGAGCAGCACACCGTTGCATCAGCACCCTCCTGCTTTCTTGGGCAATCAACTGCGCTGCTTATCTCTGACAGAGATGCCCAGCTTTTGCCCCCACTAGGGGGCATCGGAGGCTCCAGGGGCAAAAAAGGCTTCTCGTTTGTGGTTGTACGTTAAATAAACCAAGTCAGAGGCAAATGACAAACTGAGAAAAATCTCTTGCAACATACATAACACACAGAGCTTGAATATCCTTAAGGAGCTCTTACAATGTATGAACAACAGAGAGAAATATTATAAAGAAATTGAAGTGCGCAAATATCTAGATCATCAAGGTACCACCGTACCACTGTTTACAACAGTAAAAATATTAGATGCGACCTAAATGTCCCACTGATAAATCAAACTATGGACACAATGGAATTGTATGCAGTCATTAAAAACAGTGATGTGGACCCCGAATGGCCAAAACAATCTTGAAAAACAAGAACAAAGTTGGAAGAGTCACACTTCCGAATTTCAAAACCTACTACAAAGCTATGGTAATCTATACAGTGTGGTATTGGCATAAAGACAGACATATAGACCAATAGAATAGAAGAGAGAGCCCAGAAATAAACTCTCATATTTATGGTCAAGTGAGTTTTTATAATGGTGCCAAGGCCACTCAGTGGGGCAAAGGACAGGCTTTTCAACAAATAGCACTGGGAAAACTGGATATCCATATGTGAAAGAACAAAGTTGGACCCTTAACTTAAACCATATAAAAGATTAGCTCAAAATGAATCAAAGACCTAAATGTCTATAAAACTCTTAGAAGAAAAAAATAGGGAAAAGCTTCGTGACACTGAATCCAGCAATGATTTGTTGGATATGACATCAACTGGCTACATCAAAATTAAAAACGTTTGGGTCAAAGGACATTGTCAAAGGCTTTGTTTTCTCCATTTCTCTCAGGAGGGAGAAAATATCTGCAAATCATATCTGATAAAAGATTAATATACAGAATATATAAAGAATTCCTACAACTCAAACAAATAAACAACCTAATTAAAAAATGGACCAAGGACATAAACAGACATTTCTCCAAAGATACACAAATAGTTAATAAGCACATGAAAAGATGGTCAACATCACTAATCATTAAAGAAATGCAAACTCAAACCACAATGTGATACCACTTCACATCTATTAAATTTTAAAAATGGTGATGTATGTGTTTCAAAGGACTTTTATATTATGTTAGGTGGGAAAAAAATAGATTACAAAATTGTATGTACAGTAAGATCACTTTTCTGTTTAAAAACAAACTTCTTGCCCACGTGAGCCCAAGAAAGGCTTTGGGTTTCATCTTGGGGCCAGAACACCATGTGTTCCCTGCCTGTGAGAGAGGCTGGGAAAGTGAGTATTTAGCTCTTCCCTCAGTAGGAGTGGAGGCCAGGGGAGGGGCCAGTTGAGGATGGGGACTGACTAAGCCACTACCACAGTGGAGACAGAGGTCTTGGAACTTTCTCTGCTCCTTTTCCTTCCGTATCAGTTAGAAAGTGACACTAGCCAGGTCTGCTGGAGTACAAAGGATGCAAGCTCCTACGGCTTTTCTCAAGAAGACCTACAGTATTACTAAGCAAAATGCCAGCAAGCGTCATCTAATACAATATTGTTTGGACTGAAAATTCTATTTGTCTGAGGCTTTCGGTTTGAATAAATTTAATCTATCTGCCCACTTATCAGTCGTGCCCAAGTAAACAGTGCAGATTAAGTATGCCTTCAAAGGGGAGGACGTGACACCATTCTTTCCCTAAAGAGGT